CTAGACCACAGCAAGGCATTTGACACCGTAAATCTCAATATTCTATTACAGGAACTTCAAACGTTGTTTAACTTCTCTGGCTCTGCCTGCCGTCTTATTAACTAATACTTGAGGAACCGATTACCAGCAGTTTTTCACAACAATATATTCTCTTCGCATTTGCCTGTAAAAACGGCATTCCCCAAGGATCGGTTTTGGACCCTCTATTATTTTGCATATACATCAAAGATCTACCGGAGTCACTGACATATTGCAAATTAAATAAATATGCTAATGATGTTCAATTATATGTAGGATCGCAACCAATCAATTTACTATAAACATAATTAATGACAATTTGAGAAACATATCTAAGATCAACATGACATTTGAAAACTATCTTAAATATGGAGCTTTCGTCTTCCTTCATAAAGTTATAACTAACAAGGAATCATATTACTTAATATAAAGGATATTTGCCAGGTCGTATAATGCTGGGCAATAGCACAGGAAATGTTCCAGCGTGTCACTGTCTTCCCCACACGCTCTGCACATGCTGCTGCTTTCGCATCCAATTTTAAGTAGATGTGCCCTAAGGATTTTGTGGATCCCATTCGCACATTTCCTAATTCCTTTGCGTGTTTCGCTTGGCGGAATTCACATCTATCGTGGGTAGTGCAGTAGCACTCCTAGCCAGTTGATTTACTATATCGTTGCCTATGACTCCTTGGTGACTCTGTACCCATATAATTCGTACAGGTCCTTGTTGTGAGAAATCATCAATGGTATTTATACATTCCAGTACAGTTTGGGATTTAACCGTTTTAGAAGGTATTGCCTTTATAACTTCTTTGCTACCCATAATAATATTTATTGTATTTTGTCCTTGGTTTGAACTTAACCAGTTAAGACACTATTTTATAGCTTGAACCTCTGCCTGTAGGATCGTGCTGTGATCTGCAATACGAATAAAAATGTCGGTACCCGGTTCTTCGATAAAAAGTCGAGAGCCATCTATATTGCAACAGTAACATGGCGGCATCTGAAGTAGTGTTCCATTGTTCTCTATCTGGTATTTTAGTTTCGCGCCGTATTACTACTCTCGTTTCAGGTATGCGGTCTGAATCAAAGGTATTGATTGTTTACTCAGTAGTTGCATGTAATATGTTTTTGTGCGGTATGTTGTGTCCGGTGTCTATCCACTCGTCTATTGCTTTGAGTCGTAAAGCTGCAACATCCGCTTTATATTTTATTTGGATGTCTATTGGATGTATATATAATATTGTATCCAAGGCCCTAGTTGGTATTGTACGCATTGCCCCACATATACCTAGGCAACACGTTCTCTGAACTTTCTGCAACGCTTTTACGTTACATTTTTATCTATTGCTGTCAGCCAGACACCGAATGTTTGAATTGGTCTAAAACCGCTCTTATAGATCCAGTGTATCATCTTTGGACTGAAACCCCATTTAGAGCCTACGGTTCTTCTACATAAAGACCAGCATCTGTGGGCCTTTTCAGTCCTTTGCTGTATGTGGTCTTTCCATTTAAGTTTCTTGTCTAGAATTACTCCCATATACTTAACTATGTTTGATATGTCTATCGTTTTGTTTTGGAAGATGGACTCTTCATACTGACCTATTTTTGTCTTTCTAGTGAAGACATATCTCCGTTTTGTCCGGATTTACGTTTAAGCCCCTCGGTTTAGCCCAATCGTAGGCGATTTTTAGCACCGTTTCAGCTTTTCTGCATAGTAAGTTAGGCTTATTTCCCTAAGACGTACTATAACGTCATCTGCATAACAGACTGGTTTTAATCCTTCATCGGTTAAGTTCCTTAAGAGTCCATTTATGGTAGTTACACACAGGAGTGGTGACAAAATCCCTCTCTGTGGTGTTCCCTGACCTACTTTGTCTCTGATTGTTATGTCCTATATGCTACAGCTAATCCATCTATTCCTTAACATATATTTAATCCTGTCTATGATTTCCCGGTCAACTTGGAAAGTATCTAAGGATTGGATAAGCGCTGACATTGTGTAAATTGATTAATATTATGGTTTACATAATCGTCCTACAACAAAACTGTCGTATTTTGGGTTCTGAGAATCCTCAAATAATTGAAGAGAGGCCATTACGAAGATCATGCGATTGACACCATTAGACTTCTTTGCTCGCCTACTGCGAGCCGGTTGAGGTTTGATATTTCAGACAAACATATTGCTCCCGATGTTATCAGTAATATTACCACAGACATCATATACCTAAAATGCAAGGATTTCAAGAAATCCTAATGCGAATGTTCTCAAAGGCATTGGAATGGGTTGAATATCCAAGTTTTTTATTCAACTAAATTATTTCTCTAATTTCATATTTATTCCTACTTTTAACGCAAATGTTGGAAGAAGGAAAATTTTTTTACAACCTAAATCTCATTCCACATTTTCTTGGATATTAATTATGTCTATGATAGTGTTGCACTCTCTAGTTCATTAAGAAGATCGCTCTTTATAGTTCAGCTCTTATGAACGAACTAGTTCGTTCTTTTAGTTCAGTAGTTCGCCGATAATGACACATTAGTGAACGAAGATTGGGAATCGTACACTGAACGAGCATTTGCTATTTAGTTCATGGAAAGCTTTACTTTATTCTTATTTACTTCTGTTAAAATACATTTTTCATTTATTTTTTTATTTGTTTGAATTTTATTCAATCAAATAAAAATATGCGTATAAATTGTTATTTCATAATATATATATATATATATAATATATATAAATATTGATATTTCATATTTCATGAAAATAATTAGTTTTTTAATATATTAATGAAACCTATATTATTGCCTCTCACATATTATACGTATACCAACCTCTTAAACTTCCTCATATAAAAGCGGGTCTTTTTTGCGGTCAACATATTCTTCATTTATATATTTTTCCAATTCCCGAATGCTAGCCGCAGGATTATTTTCGGAATGGACAATTATATTTGTTTCTTGGTCGAACTCGGACCAAAATTCCAAATTCCTTTCTGCTGTGGAACATTGCGGAGTTTGTTGCTCTTGTTCCTCTTCATTTGGCAATCGAATGTGGCTAATTTTGCTTCTCAACGTTTTTAACGCCTTCACGCGCGACATGTCGTGTTTGAAACTTCTTCTTTTAAAACGGGGATCCAGAATGGTGCTTTCTGAATAAAGAGGGAGAAAAACCCTCTTTATGCAGAAAACACCAAAACGACTGATTAGCTCATTTGAAATACTGAAAAGCATATTAGGAACCGTGAAGATTGTAGATTTGTCTTTAGCTATGCATTTTTTTTTAAATATTCCACATTACTGTAACTTTTGAAAGTTTAAAAATTTTTTCTGATGAAATTTCCTTTGTAATTTCATAAAAAGGTTTCAAAATGATTATGGCTTCTTTTATTACATTATTATTTCCCAGTCTTCAAACAGAAGCAGCAAATCAGGACGAATCAAACATATGGTCGTTATCAAGGCATCTTTTATACATTATATTCTCTCCAGCATTTCATAGGTAGAGTTCCATCGCGTAGTGACCGACTGTTTCAACTTCAATTCTGGAAGACGCATAAGTTTTTGAGTTTGTTCAGGTCTTTTGAGCTTCTTCGAAAATGCTCCACGATGCTTTTCACCTTTACCACAGTGTCTTTGATTTCTTTCAATCCAGCTTCCACAACCAAATTTAAGGAATGCGCGAAACATCCCACCCCCCTCCATTGCCCTAGACGTATTGCCGCAGTAATATTTGAAGCGTGTCGCTTACAATAGCTGTAATTTTGTTCGCTCTTTAAAAATTCGGCCAAGTTTTCAGCAGTATGCTTTGCTGAATTGCTCACATAATAATAAATATGATTTTAAAACGCAGTTTTCATTTATAAAATGAGCAGTTACAGCCATATAGGAGGCATTTGTTCTTGACGTCCATCTCTATTAGCTTCTTGAATTCTGGCTCTTCCACAATTTTTAAGGCATGATGCCCCTTTGCTACTATTTTAAGTACTTTTATATCAATCGCTTCTACTTTACGTATAGGTGCTGGTCTGCGAATATACGGTGTTATGCTTTGTTGTTGATTTCTTGATTGAGAGCTTGTGGTAGGCAACTCAACATCAATAGGTTCAGGTCCCGAACTAGTGGTATGGGTACTTTGAATTCCTAGAGACATTTCTTGTCTTTCCAGGTGTAACGGAGTTAACGGATGCTTCGTCTTCATATGACGGGTCAGGTTTCCGTGGGACCCCCCAGCAATATTTAGTGACACCTGGCTTCTATACTGTTCAAAAACAAAACGATCAATAAGAACAAAATACAAAAACAATTAACTGTCATAAAATATTCCGTATTAGGATGGCAAAATTTAAAATTATCATCATATACCTAAATATTAACGTGATGATTTGTTTGGCAAAAATGGAGTCGATCTTATCGTTCCGTTTATTTAGGTGAAGTCGGCTAACCAACTGCAAGGAACGAACGATGTAATAGTTCATTGGCAACATGACAGATTTGTCTATGAAACGCAAGCAATTTGTTGTTGCGACAAGTTTTGGTCAAAGAAAACATCCGTGGTTGAACGAACGAACGATGTAAAAGTCCGAACAGCTGATAAATGTCAAAAGAACTATAAAGAACGACTATGAATGAACAAGTTCAGTTTCAACTGAATCGATCATCTGAACTAGTTCGTTCGCGAACTATACATCTTTAGTCTATGACCAGAACCCACTTCTTTTCAACGAAATTCCTTATGATCATACAAAGAAAGCATTTTGAACATTTTTACTTATAAAAGGATATTTTTATTTTCTGTAAAACAATAACTAAAAAGTAATACAATAATATTCTCTTATTTTCTTTCAGAATTTCATTTAATGTTTAGCCCGTATCCAGGTAATGCGTTCTTCTAAATTAAAATACATTAACCATTTAGTCTGATTTGTAATAGTCTTATTTTTTAAATATATTTTTATTATTAGTTTTAAATTAAACCACATTCAGGCATCAGAATATCTTTCATTGTCATTACATCCGTCCGTCGCTTTGTATTGCTTTTGCCGGCGATAACGACCCTGCGAAATTGATATCGGATCCACGTTAAGACTGGTGGCAATTGACAACTGTCCCAGCTGGCCATACAGTAGTGTTTCATCAATTAAACGTTTGGCATAGAGTCTTTGTTCCGTCGATAGTTTACGATAGCTAATGGCCCATCCTTCAGCAAAGACATCCGATTCATCGCGTTCGTTTGTTTGAATATATCGCTGCGATTCCTGCTTTGTAGTGGGTGTGTATACTGGGACAGGTTGTGGAGCCGGAGTCAATAGTGGTGAAGGCGGTTGCATATCCGTCGTGCTGCTGTATCTGGATCTTTTGGCAGGTTGTGCAGCATTTATAACGGGAGGATCAGGTTCATCGAAGGATATGGGCGATTTTGAAACGGAACACTGAAATGAGAATAAATAAAACGAAAATAGTGTTAAATTATTGAATGAGAATTATAAATACAATAATTATATTTTTGGTTCTCTTCGATAATAAAAAAAGTCCTGATGACAAAAAATTTAGGTGAAAGGACCAAAAAGTTTTCGGAAGTTACAGTCAAAAGTATCCACTTGTTTCTTTTTTTATAAAAAATGTCATACGTTCATGAATAAAATTGTATTTCTTTCATGTGTGAACATGAATATCTTAACCCGAGCTGTGCTAGCGTGACCATATGGTCACACTCATAATGCGATCTATAAATCATCTAAAAAACCTGTACCCGAGCAGTGCCAGTGTGAACATACGGCCACAGCCCAAAAATTGATCCTGTCTATTATCCTGATAAGAAAAGAGGATACAAATCAAATTTTTGAATTCAGTGGCCCACAATCTAAAGAAGCTGACAGTTTCGTCCCACAATTCGAAAAAAATAATTACAGCACTATTCGGGTTAACTTAAAATTAAGGCAATGAAATGAACAATATTTGAATTTGAATTCAATATAAAAAAGTAATGATTATTGTTTTTGTAATAAAATTAGTTGTTGTAATTCATGCATACACCTTGATTAAACCATTTTAAAGACTCTTCTCCTATTCGATTTACCTAATAATTCCGATTCCGAAGAATAAACAAAGTCCAAACAATGCATTTTTAGAATAATTGTCATCGATTCTCGCGTGTGTGCGTGCTTGGTTTTTTTTATGGCGCCTCAACGCATTTTTTTCTAAGGCATCGGAATTCTCACCTAACAACAACAACGACGAATTTGCTTTCTCTCCAAACAAACGAACATCAGCTCTACTAATAACAACAATAAAGTTCCGTTTTGTTGGATGAAACTCCAAGTATCCTCCCAATAGTAAGAAAAACGTACTCTCTCACTCACACTGTTTGTTTTTCACTCTCTCTCTCTCCATCTTTCTCACAGAACAATTTCTCTACCATTCTCGTAGCAAATTTGTTGTTTATGCCCCCCAACTTATGTTTGGCCAATGTTGTTGTCGTTCGTTAGTGACGACACAATTGTTCATGCCGTTTGTTTTTTTGGTGTATCAGGTGTAGTGCTGTGTGCGGCAATGCGAATAAACAGACAGACAGACATGTGTTGTGTACATGTGGATGGTTGCTTGGTTGGTACTTGGGGGAACATGTGTGAGCACAATTTATAGAATTTAACACGTAAAAGCGCATAATCCACCAGAAATATTTGCCATTATGTAGCTGTAGTCCGAAATGATTCGTCTTCCTCTGCCGCCTGGCTGTCATTCGGGGACATGCATGCCAAACCAGCCAGCCAGCAAGCACTCTGCTGATGTTGATGGCACGGTGTTGCGTTGGGTGCGCGCCTGACGAGCGCATATCGTCAGCCACATTTAATCCCGTGTAAGAAGCACCACAACTAGGCAGCTACCACCACCAGTGGTTGTGAGTGAGCGACACCGTTTAACAACGGGTAACTTACGTGCGACCATCACGTAAAATAACACGAGCAAGCATTTCATTAGGCTCTCAGCAATTTTAGTTGGGTTGTTTTCGACAGGCAAAGCACAACGAACGTCGGATCGCCAGCATTGGCAAATGAGATGTCAGTAGTGTACGGTGGACACAACAACAAAATACATACTCACACACAAACATTTCACGTTAATAAAGTGGAGCAATGGCATTCAAAACAAAAAGAGATAGAGAGAGCGAATAGCAGAATAACTCTCTTGAGACAGAGACAGAGAGAGAGAGAGAAATGTGCAAACATAGAATGTGTAGTGTGTGTGTGTGCTTGTGTGTATTATTGGGGGGATTGCCTTTTGTTTTGATTTATTTTTAAACAACGACGACAACATATGATAGAGTGGCTGCCTTCTCACCTCTCTTGCTCTCTCAAAAGTCCCCCTCTTCATAAACATGTGAATTTTATGAACACTCTTTGATTGAAATATCTGTGTGCTCTGTGTGTTTTGGTTATCTGACCCCCTCCATTCACACATGCAAGCCACAATTATTGTCGTGTATTGTGGGTGTTTTGTTTGGGGTCAGAGAAAAATGACCGGTGTGGTAGTTGATTTTCAGTTGCCCACTGTACAGCGTATACCCTAACCGAATTTTTTTTTTCGTGTACTGCTGACATTGTTTTCACAACTATTTATTACGTTGTAATTATGCTCCAAATGGCTTAGATTGATTTCGTGGTTATGGATATTGGCAAGTGGTGGTCAAGGTGGAAGGGTGTTTATGTGACGACAACAGCGAACGGTTTGAATGACACTCTACCTGTGAATACATTCACACAAAACGTTGCCTTTTGTCGACATCTCACATCAGAACAGAATAAAACGAATACAGAGCATTGCTTGCCTTCATAACACATATTACGAATGGTGTGAATAGTCGGCATATACTTCGTTTTGAACAGTTAATGAAAATAAAAAAAATGTTAAAACGATGTTAAACAGCTTATACATTAAAACTTGTTTACCGGGTTAACCTACTTTATGAGGAATTGCCAATTGAAACCCACTGGGTTAACGAAACCCGGTTAAATGTAAATGTACTATTAAGTTCGATCCGGCCTAATTTTTATTCCCTCCAACATGAGGATGACATTCAAAATATATAACATTATTGGAGGCTTTTAGGAGAAAATTAATTTTAAGATAGGAGCTTAAAAATATTGAGAAAGACCCGAAAAAAAAATGATTAAAATTCTCAAACTGCCTAAGAGTGGTGCCGGCGTTTTATGAATCTATATTTGGTGCAGCCAGTTCGTTTGGAAAATAAATACCGAATATAGGGGGGTAGCGTTATAAGGGGGCTATCCTGAAACTTGGGTCCATATTCAATGTTATTCAATGAGAACCCAAAATACCAAATAACAGCCAGTTCGGTTGGAAATCGTGTCCTAAATCCCCGAAATATCGAATATTAGGGATAACGTTATATGGGGGCTATCCTGAAACTTCGGTCAATATTAGTTATTTTTAAGTACAGAGATGTGCTATACAATGAGAACAGACGGACATGCTTAAATCGACATAGCATTACAGTAGATATCGGATATAAGCACATCTCATATAAGAAAGATTATAAAAAACACCGAGCTTATACTTTCTTATATCCTATAATTCCATATAAGAAAAAAACGAACATAAGAAAGAAATCTCCGGATTTTTTGAGTTTCTTATATTCGATATCTACTGTATATTCATTTTAAGAATGAATTTATGGCGATAAATTCTTTACCAAACGAACATTCGCCAAAGAATGGTCGCACACACATAACATCCGAGTGAGAGCACACAACAACGTTCGTTTCGTTTGGTGGTTGAAATTCTTTCTGACATTCTCTCACGAATGAAAACAAACATTCCCGAATTCTCGAGAATGCTCAAAACGGCAACAACAGTAACAACAAACGTTCGTGAACTCAATAGTTGTTGGACATGTGTTTTGTTATTACACACACTTTCAGCTACACACACATTCTTTCGTTGTTTGTGTGTGTTTTTATGATTTTAGATTGGGGAAGAAGAAATCCATTATTTTTATATGAGCTATAGGACTTTATTTAACTTGCTTCGGAATGTCAGATTTGGACCTAATATACACCGTTTTGTTGTATGATTTGTTGCCATTTTAAAGGTAACTTCATAATACCATTGGCATAAAAGTCCTGCTCTCTATTTGCAAAAAACTCTAGTAGTCGATTTTTACAATCCTCCCTAGATACCAATTTTTTATCATTAAAAAAAAATTGGAAATGCAAGAAAAATATGATAATCGCTTGGTGCCAAGTCCGGACTGTATGGCGGATGCATTAAAACTTTCCAACCAAGCTCCCGAAGTTTTTTCTGTCGAGTCCCTGTAGATGTGTATTGGGCAATTTTGGCGTTTTTTGTCAATTGTAAATGGTTTAAAAGAGTTTTATGGTGGTTATTTAGCTCCTAGGCGATGTTACGACTGCTAACATTCCAATCAACTTCGACCGGCCTACCTCTGCGAGGTGAATCTTTAACATCAAAAATTCCTGAACGGAATCTACGAAAACCAAAATTGCCCATAATTGGCTGTTAAAGTATCGGGAACTATAAACACCATTCACAATTTTAGCCGCTTGGCTTGAATTTTCGCCTTTGTCAAAGAAAAACTTAAAATGAACCGAATTTTCTCTTTGTTCATTTCCATTTTTAACTCGCAACTGAATGCACCAAACAAAAATTAACAAAATATTTTTTTTACTGCGAAATATCACCCTTCCAACGAGCATAAAACTGAAATTGTTTGATCGATACTTTACGAAAAATAATTTTTGAAACTCAGTTGATTTTACCCCCATTATAATACTATTCAATAGTAATTCATAAAATGTAAAGTAACACACAAAAACTGTATTTTTATAAAGTCGTTGTTCGTCCGTCCACTAGTCCGTCGATATTCACACGTCACACTCTTATTTACAGCTTCTATTGCAACCTTGATGAAACTTGATTTTTTTCTTTGTAAGAGTAATACTATCACTTACATCAGAGAATGGACGACAATCCTCAAGCTCGTCTTTATCGGAACTAATGAATTCATTTAATGCATTATGGGATTGTTCCATTTGAACACATCCGTGTCTAATCAAATTTGATGTCTGTTTGCCATTATATTTAAATATCCGGCAACACTTGCGACAGTACACCCTTCCCTTTATTATTTCGTTATTTTCATTTTCTATTACTGAGAAAATATCCCATATTCTGCTCTTTCTTGTTACTTTAATCGTACGATAAACTCCACTTTGTATTTTTTGTAAGATATCGGACTCCATTTGTTCACACTTCACGGACTTGCCAACGAATACTGACTGAATGGTACGAATACTTTGGTATTTTTAGTACATCAACCACAATTTTGCTGCTTGTCTGCCTGCCTGCCATACAACGGCACAACAAAACTGTACAATCGGCAAAAGCAACGAATGGAAAGTAAAGCGGCTCACACACGTCAAACATGTCCATTCGATCGATGTGAATCGAAAAAAAACATGTTTGACGCGTGTGGTAGGGTGTTCAGACCGATGTTCACTATCGCTGTCCATCCACACGCTTCAAAAACGAAATTCAAAATTAAGTTTTGTGGATCCATTTCATGTGTGTGGCTTAACAGCTTCACACCGATCGAATGCACATGTTTGACGTGTGTTGGCCGCTTAGGTAACAACAGTCGTTGATATGGGCGAATGAGTGCATGGCAATAGCAATAAAATAACGAATGCTTAACAGAAACACGAATCATTTCATTCTGAACCAGCTGGCTGCGACCACAGCAGTGTTGCTCAGCTCTTTACGGTTTCGTGACAACAAATCACACGTATTCTCTCTCATTTTAGATTTGTCGTTTGTTTTGCATAGGCGGGAGAGAAAACACATAGATAGCAATGCAAGTATTATGAACATCACTGAACCAAACCACCGCAGGCGTGTTCTCTTTGAGGGTTATATGTGTGTGTGTGTGTGTGTGAAAAACAAAAACACAAAAGAGCGGCTCTCTGTCTGTTCCTGTTCTGACTTCTGGTCGACATGTTAACAATGACAACAACAAAGTCGCTACCCCCACATCTGTCGCAAAGAGCAAGAGAAATGTTGATTGAGTAAAAGAGGGAGGAGAGAGCGTATTAGTGGTTTATAAACATAGGTGCCCAAAATTAAAATGCGTTATAATGTGTGAGAGAAAACAGAACAGTACAGAACAAAATTGTGTGTACATTTTTGTGGTCGGAAAAAATTATTGATGAATTTAATTTTTGTTATTTTATAAATTAAAAGCATTATTAAAAATGTTTTTATATGAATTACAAATTGTATATGTCACAAAAATCAAATAAAGTTTATAAAGTAGCATATACCGAGATAATAATCATATTATAATATTAAATATTACGATAATTATCAAATATTTAATTATTAAAAAACAGCAATTGTTCTGTTGTTTTTAAAATTGTTTAAACATACAAAACGAATTTTAAATAATAAAATAAAAATCCAAAATATATTGCAACACTTTTATCCCTAAGTGTTATTTCGTTGATTTTCTTGTTGTGCGGACACGACGTCGTGCGCGCACCCCAGCATGTGTTCATTCGTTGCCTGTCAAACAACGACTGACTGAAAGAGCATAACAATGCGTGTGAGTAGGCAGCTACTTTAAAGTATACTGATGGGCACCTATGTTTATAAATGAGTTTTGATTTTCCATATTTCTCCACCGACCGAACGACCGACTGATAAACAATAATTGTCGGGTGCCAAAAGTAGAGATTGTCACAGGATTAGCATGTTAAAGGCTTTAGTTGTTGTCACTAATGTTTTGACGAATTGATGTATATTTGCATTTTGATTTATTGGCATTTGTGGTATGGTGAGTGAGTGAGCGGTAGGTTAGGAGAGAGGTGGGTTCCGCACCAATACGTTGTCCTCCATTTATATGAAAAATATACATAGCAAAACTTGACTTCTTTGATTGACTTCTGAAAATTGTAAGCGTTTAAAGTAGGCCACCTACATTTAATTGGGAAAATGCCGTAATATTGTCATGATGAGTAGGGGAAGAGGTTACTTTTCTTTGTTGTTAAAATCCAGTGATGTTATTAAACTTTATTACACAGAAGTTCGGAAAAATACAATTCGTCTGAAATGAAAATTGATTGCCTGTATATTGCAGTTACCATAGGGTTATATCATTCTACACATGCATAGTTTGTTACCACTCTAGGATTTTCACAATAGAACATGGGATATATCTGTCAACGTTGTGATATAGTTTTCATATAATGGCACCAGCCTATTTAGAATATGTTAGAAGTTCTAGGTTTGTAACTTTCCATTCCGGGTTCATAGTGGTTTCTAAACTTCCTCACCAAAAATGCAGTGAATAGGAATTTGTATGTTCCAAGGCTTTTTTTCCACTTTTCTTGGTGCATAAAAAACTTCGCTGAAAATTGTCAGCATTGCGCCATGTCTTGACATACACAGTCAAAAGTATCCACTTGTTTTTTCATTATAAAAATGGCAAAATTGCGTGTTAATTTAATTAATTATTCTTTTTTTATATGTGAACATGAGCAGCTTAACTTAAAATTAATGAAATTGAATTGCGAATATTTATATAAAAATCAATATAAAACAATTATATTATGATTGTCATCCATAACAATCATAATTTCTAAAATTAATGGAAGCTCCCAGAGAAAACTCATGTTATCATAGCTATAGTTGGGTAGTTCCGGAACGAACTATTTCATTGGAAATATTCCCAGTAAAGAACGATCGGAAAATATAGTTAAATTTTCTGATTTCGGTTCTTTTTTGATCTAGTTTTTTTTCTGATCTTTTTCTTTTCACTGATTTCGTTCCTTTACTCCCATATTACTCATTCGTTCTCGTTCGTTTTTTTTTTTCATTTCATGGAACAAACGAACTATAAACAGCAAAGGAACTGTATAGAGTATAGCGGCAAGGAACTACATTGAGGAACTAGTTCCTTTTTAAAAAAGGAACGAGAAATACCGATCCGCTACGTGAACTAGATTGCCTTACTCTAATGATAGGAGCTTGAACATACCGAAAAATACGTGAGAAAAAGATGATTGAAATTCTCAAAATATCCAATAGTAGGAAAAATATATGGGACTATAATAAAACGAAGATACATTTTGATATTTTGTGGTCGTAAGATTTGACAGCCTATTCTCATTCTCAAGATACCAAATTATAGCCAATTCGATTGAAAAGCATGTCCAAAATTCTAAAAATTCCGACTTGAGTCAGTATTAAGAATCTTTAGTACGGAGATGTAGTGGTACCAAAATACCAAATTAGAAATTGCCTGTTTGAAAAACGTGTCAAAAATTTTCATATTGGTCCAAGTTTTAGGCTAGTCCCTAAAACTTGGGGGCTACCCTAGTACTGAAATAGGCTATACAATGAGAACCCAAAATAAAAAATAACAGGCAAGTTTGTTGGAAAGCCTGCCAAAAATACCGAATATTGGGGAGTACTGTTTTAGGAGGGCAACCCTCAATATTAAACATTTTTGAAAATATCCAATTACAGACCATCGGTTGAAAAACGTGTTCAAAATACCGAATATTGGAGGAATATTGTTCAAAAAATATATATTGAGGCACGAACCAAGAATCGAATTGGCAACAAGCTGAAATCCAGTCAGAAAAAAATATTCAATTTTTTTCTGACTGGATTTCAGAAAAGTGGCCGATAATCCAAAGTGAAGTGCACATAAACTTGCTGAAATCGCGGAGAAATGTCTGGAAAAGAAATGTAACCCAGAAACAATTCGAAGAATTGAAGAACAGTATATATATATATATATATATATGTTTTAATCGCTCTTGTGCTCTTGAATTGAATTTTACATAAGCATTGTCTTCATGGTAGAGTTGCAGTGAAAAGGCCACTCATATACCCAAACATCGGAAAATCCTATTGGTGTTCGTTCAGGAACACGAAAAAAAAATAATTTTGAATTTTGGAAATCAGTTTTTTTGCTGATGAAAGCAAATGTAACTTGTTTAGTTCGGATGACGCAGGGCGAATAAAGCCGTGGGCCCTAATCACACAATTCCGACCGTAAAGCGCGGATGAGGTTCTGTAATGGTATGGGACTGTATGAGCGCTGCCAGAGTAGGAAATCTCATTTTTATGATAAGATTTTATTATTGAAACATTCTAAAATAGAATTTGAAATGTAGTGCTGCAAAAATGGGAGGGGATCAAGATAATGATCCCAAACACAAGTACCAGATCGTTCGAGAATGGATGCTTTATAATTGTCCAAAAGTGATTCAAACACCTCCTCAGTCCCCGGATTTAAATCCTATAGAGAACTTATGGAGTATATTGGAGAAGAATAACTAAAGTATTTTCAATTCCTTGCAACCAGACAGAAATTCATTTATTGTTTTATTTTCCTTCCTAGGGAGTTTCTTCCTATCAGGTACTAATAATAATAAAAACCAAAAACAATCCGACCAGTCAACCAACCAACTCACAACTAGAACGCCGCAACATGCCCAGCATTTATTCTTTCATATTCCCTGTTGTGTACATGCATATAACGCTGAACGTAAACTACTACAATACGGCGCAACGTAAAGTATAACAACAACGCCGTTGTTGTTGTCGTGGTCGTCATCTTGGTGTATTGACTGCGTCTAGCCTCTAAACAAGCCATATGAGCACACAAGAGTCTATCAACACAAGCAACAAAAGAAAACACAAATCTACACACACTTGAGTCCAAGGTGCCATACATTCAGATATACATACATATTTTGAAAAAATAGCCAAAGAGCATGTCGATACGACACGTCGTCCATATATCGACTAGCTAAAATATCTCGTCTCCCAGTCGAAATAAAACAAAATCAAATTCAAAACAACAACATACCCTGCCTGTGACGATTTCTAATCACATCTTCTTGCTCGTTCGTTTGTCGGTCGTTGTTGTTGTTGGCAGCAAATATTGTCGCAACAAACAAACAACAACAACCCCAACCGGCCGGCCGATTTGTTTCGTTTATTCCAACAACAGTAGCCTCCTCATCTTGCATTATTATTATTTTCATTGTTTGTTGTGACGACTACGACGAACAAACAAACCAAGAAGTTTAGTAGTTGCCGTTTGAAATGAAAAAAAATAGTTTGGATTCAAATAACACGTACAGTGAGTCAAAGTCAAATGTATCCACTTGGTTTTTATACCCTTCACCACACTGTGGTACAGGGTATTATGTCTTTGTGCATATGTTTG